GCTTCTTGGATGAGAAGCGAAATGTCTTCAAAGAAAACAAGAAAGTCCAGTTACCTCCTGAAAAGGCATCTTTGGGACAACCATGACCTGGATGACTGAGAATCTCCGTAGACCTGCAGCCCTTGTATGAATCAAAGGTGGTTTTCCCAAGCAGCATAGGAAAAAAAAACATTCCCAGAGAGGTCCATTTTTATGGAACCTCGTGAACAAAATGGTTCCACAAAATGGCTGCTACAGCAAGAGCAACCAAAACACCTTTCCTTTTTTGCAGCAAAGCAAACTGCAGGGTTATGCTATACAACATCTAATTCTGTTCAATGTTTTATCACTTGCTCTGATAAAAGGGGTGCATCTACATAGTTTATATGCCCATCTTGGTTTCTCTGTTTACCTTACCTCTAGGGAAAGGTGTTCAGGTAAAACAAGTATTATAAACATGCAGATGATGTTTTGGATTTTAGAAATATCACATTGACACTTCAGTGTTAAAAGGCAAAAGTGTTCAGTGTGAAAAGGCAAAAGAACCTAGCCCTCAATTTACTGATTGATAATGTACTGAGGTCTGAGGTCCCCAGGCCAAACTCCGCAGAGAGGATATGAAACACTAACAGACCCCAAACTATCCAGTCCCACTTGGGTTCAATTGACATTTTATAGTTTAAATGGTTCAGATCTGCAGCTTCACAGTTGCATTTAGGTTTTTACCAACACACTTTTAAAAAAGAAAAATATGTTATTATGTGTTTGAGTCTAACTGAATTTATTTGAACATAATTTATAATGCTGAACTGGGTCAACTTGATTGATGGCATTTCAGCACTCTAGGTTTCTGCAACCCCCGAGAGCTTTGGAGAATGGGAGTATTAGACAGCCAAGTCCGACTTTAAAGCACCTTTTATGCACATCTAAATCTTTTGGTTGGTTTTCAAGTATATCTATAAACTGTGCCTTTTCACCTGTTTGCCTTCAGTGCAACACTCCACCACAAAAAACTGGACAGCCAGTCTACTTTCTGGATATCTCTGGAATGTAACTGATGATGAATTAAGTTGGCATTTGCCAGAGACTTTTGAGACAAAGTCTTCCTAAAATTCACAGGAGCAAAGGGAACATAAAATCAGAAAAAGATACACCTGCACACACAGTTGGGATCTTGTTGAAGTACTTTATGTCTCTTAGCTCATTTAACTAGGGTTTGGTTGCCTTACTGTGTGGGCTGGCATCACTTTAACCTGGGTTACTCTGACTGTGGGACTCCTTCTACACAGAGGTGGGTTTCAAAAATTTCAGCAAGGGGTTCTCTGCCCAGTTACTGGGTGGGCATGGCCAGTGATCAGATTCAGCTGGTTCGCACCTATTCGGGAGAACAAGTTCATAACTTTCTAAGTAGTTCAGAGAACCGGTTGTTGGAAGAAATCTTATTTTATATTTTCCCCACTTTACAGGGCTAATCCTGTAAGGAAGGCAGGAAGGAAANCGTGGCGACCAAAACTGAATGCAGTATTCCAAGTGTGACCTTACCAAGGCATTATAAAGTGGTATTAACACTTCACGTGATCTTGATTCTATCCGTCTGTTTATGCAGCCTAGAACTGTGTTGGCTTTTTGGGCAGTTGCTACACAGAAGTTGCAATATAACAAACCTAGAATCACAAATGATCATTTAATCTACTCATATTTAAAATGTACTAGTTGCCCTATAGGAAAAGGTTTTCAGAAATAAGCAAGAAACCTAATAAATCCAAAACAAAATATAATGAAACAATAATAAATTAAAATACTGTAAAAGAAAGTCACTAAGAAGTTCAACAAAATAATCTAAGAAGTACAGGAAAATTAAAAGGCTGAATACTTTTAATTTTATTTGTTTATAAATATCTCTGTCTGGCATCCAAATAAAAGAGAAATTGGTGGACTATTTTAAAGAATTGGAGAACATTGTTAAAAACATCTATTCTCACCTGCTAAAATGCAGCATGTGAAAAGCACTCAGAGCAGGGCCTCTGATAACAGTCCCAATGCTCAGGTAGGAGGTTTTTATTATTATTATTAACTCACCTGAAGATAAAGATGAAGAGCATCAGTAACATACAGAAGGTGGCCACATTGTCCATTGTTTTCATGAGGACCACTAATTGGCGTTGAAGAGCAGGCATAAACCGGACCAGTTTTAGAACTCGCATAAGACGGAAGGTTCTTAAAACAGATAAGCCTCCACCTTGCTGTCCAACAATCTCCCACACACTAGGGGGAAAACAGAGAATATATATTTAATACTAATGTAATAAATTAGCTTTCGAGAGCTAATTACAGGTAGTCCTTGACTTACAACAGTTCATTTAGTGACCATTCAAAGTTACAACATTGAAAAAAGGTACTTATGACCGTTTTTCACACTTACGATCTTTGCCCCATGATTCTGTGATCAAAATTCAGACACTCGGCAACTGGTTCATACTTATGGCCCTTGCTGTGTCCCATGGTCATATGATCCCCTTTTCCAAATGACTGACAAGTAAAATCAATGGGGAAGCCAGATTCACTTAACAGCCATGTTTACCAACTTATCAACTGCAGTGATTCATTTAACAACTGTGGCAAGAAAGGTCATAAAATGGGGCAAAACTCACTTAACAACTATCTCACTTAAGAACAGAAATGTTGGGCTCAATTGTGACCATAAGTCGAGGATTACCTGTATTATTATCACACATCTGTTGTCTTTGGAGGTTTGTCCTAGTGACCGTAGGATTTATCAGATTCAGAATTTTATCTCTGAATTTAAATATCTCCTTGGAGGGAGAAATCTAGCCTAGCAATTCTTTCTCAGCGTCTGAAGGCAATTCTTTATTACATTGAAACTCTGACATTGAAGAAAGATACAAAAGAATAAAGCTGGCAGTATTGTGGGAGGGCTGTAGATCCTCCAACTCAGAAATCAGACTGGTTTTCTGCTTATCTCCCAAATCAATAATCAGTTGGATGATATTCATTAATTTTCTTACATTGGTTTCAATCATAAAGAATTTTTAAAAAAAATAAATTAGCTTCCGAAAGGAAACAGAGCCCAGCAAGATGTTGTATATCACGATGGTGTCACATGATGTATCAGGACTCCCCCCCTTGCTAAACCGGGTGTGGGCGTGGCCAGCCACTGACGCATCTGGTCCATGAGCCACGAGCTTGATAGCCCTGTTATATATGGCCATTCATTCACTGACAAAGCTTTTTCTGCTCATATTTCTTTAACTGAGAATATTCAGATGAAGAGTTGGAAATCTTTGAGAAAAAGATCTGAATCTTTACGATTGCTGAGGAACTTCCAAAGGAAGTTTCCATAAAAACACTCCCAGTGAAGAATTGCATACATTTCAATGTTTTGAATGGTTTCAGGATTTCTGAAAACAACAACAACCAGGGAAAGGTATTCATAGTTGTTGTTATTTTTTAAATTCCTGCATGCACTCAAACAGATTTTGTTATGTGCCCTAAAAATGCACCGAAGTAGAAAAGCAGATACAGAGGTGCTCTGAGGATAAATGTTGCATGGGGAACATTATTAATGGATTTCTTCGATTGGAATTCTGCAAATAGAAACTACATATAATTTGCCCTGCATTTTCTTCAGGGAATTCATGTTAATGAGGTATCCATATGTCTTGATTTACAGAGTACAGTACAGTCCTTTATTGAAGCAGTGCTTGGAGAACCAAATGTCCTTTTAAAATAAAGAATTGTAAGAAGGCAATAGTCTTATAATAGGGGTCCCCAATCCCTGGTCCGTGGCCTGGCACTGGTCCGTGGCCTGTTAGGAATCAGCCCACACAGCTGGAAGTAGCAGTGGGTAAGTGAAACTGTGCATGTGCAGGATCTAGTTTGAGCGTTCCTCCTTCCTCACCTTCAAGTCTGTGAAAAAATTGAAACTCAATTCCTGATATCAAAAAGGTTGGGGTCTACTGTCTTGTAGTATCCATCAGCAATAGCTAGCATTTGGGCAACACTTTGAGCAGATATGCAAACAGTCGTGGTAGCACAGGGGTTAGAATACAGTACTGGAGTCTAACTCACTGCTCATTCCAGGAGTTCGATTTTGAGCGGCTCAAGGTTGACTCAACCTTCTGAGGTGGGTAAAATAAGGACCCAGATTTTTGGGGGCAATAGGCTGACTCTGTAAACCGCTTAGAGAGAGCTGTAAAGCACTGTGAAGTGGTATATAAGTCTAAGTGCTTATTGCTATTGTAGTCTTCATTTTGGAGAACCATATTTTTTTCTACTTCAGTTCGTTCTAATCATTGTTCAATGCTGAATGATTTCTCTTACACTGGCAGGTACAAATCTTATCTTTCATTCTTTTGTAAAGAGATGTGCAAGGGGCCAGCTAGATATCTTTAAGTCTTTAAGAACATGTTGGATAGCCATTTGTCTGGAATGTTATAGGGTTCCCTGCCTAGGCAGGGGGTTGGACTAGAAGACCTCCAAGGTCCCATCCAACTCTGCTATTGTATTGTATTGTATATATAAAGTAAACAAGTACTGTCTCCAGGCCTATTATTTATAGTGAGTGTTATCTGAAAAGAAAACAATAGTGGTGGGTGGATTATACTGAATAGCCCCTCTGTACTAAAGCAGTGGCCCCCAACCTTTTGGGCTTCAGGGATAGGCTCCGTGGAGAGGGTTTGTTCCACAGACCAGAGGGGGTGTGGTTTTATGTGCTGCCTACATCCTGCAGATGGGACTTCACTTGTTTGCGTGGATCAGTTTCTGGCATGTTGTGGACCGATGTTGGGCACCCTTGTACTAAACATTATAACTCCTCCTCAAAACAAGAAGCCAATTAGTGTGTTTTCAGGTAAATATAATCATAGGTATTGTCATAAAATAATTTATTTTGACTAGACATCCTTCAAATGAATTATAACTCTTAGAATTGTCAGCAGTTCCAGAGAACATACCATATACAACACATGAGGAAAAAACACACAGATATTATTTCAACCCATTTTTTAAAAATCCCACAGTTTTATTGCACAATCCAGTTGGAAGAAATCAGTTTAAAATAAGGTGGTCTTAGCATAAACAAATGGATTAAATGTTATAGATTGCAACTACTTATGGTAATTAAGAAAACTTGGTTTTAATTACCTGATCACTACAATGATTCCATCAAAGATATTGTAAGGATTTTTGATGTAACCAAAAGGGCCATACACAAGAAGCTTCAGAAGCATCTCTAGGGCAAAGAGGCTAGTAAACACAATATTGCTGATTTCCAGAGCATTGGTGAGTTCTTCTGGCTGGAAAAAAAATCAAGGATAAATAAAATTGTCAAGATTAATAAACTGTGTGCTGTGAAATACCAAGAAATGTCTAGTCATGTAAGTTGTAACATTCATAAATATATCAGACAACCAGACAGAACGGAAAAAGAATCTCTTGGGCCATCCGTTGCCTGTTTTCGCAGTGCTGGGAGCTTCTTTACCATTGTCAGAACTAATCCTAAAACTCAAGACACAGTTGATATGATTTGCTTACTAGATCATATCCTCTTTCTTCCCATCACCTTAACAATTTAATGACAAATCAGCAGTAGTCAAGCAATGCCATTTCTCATCATGGCAAACTGTTACACCAGCCTGTTTCCTGAAAATCAGTGCTAGCTGAGGAGAGGGAAGGCACACACAAAGGCTTGGAAGATGCAGTGCCCTATGCTAAGACAATGGTGTTCTTGTGCTTCATACAACTGAGGAATAACAACCGAGAAACTGCAGAACTATCAGCCCTACAGCTCTTTCCCCAAAAGTGCTTTTTCAGGAGGCAACTGGTCTTTCTTACTGGATGGTGGGGAACAGAAGGATTTATACTCCTTGCAGACAGTTCCCCACCATCCAGTCAGAGCTGAAGAAGCTTCTTGGATGAGAAGCGAAATGTCTTCAAAGAAAACAAGAAAGTCCAGTTACCTCCTGAAAAGGCATCTTTGGGACAA